TCTATATTGTAGATTCCTTAATTTTTATGGACTAGGGATGACTCATATCTCTGACTAAAGCATTGATGATGATTTTTTTTCATTATATTTCATTGATCATGTAGGTACCGTGAAAGGAGGTAGAAAAAGGAGAAGAAAGTTTTTGTTTATTTTCAACACACAAATAACCCTATAGATTTTACGGTTACAAAAAATTTCTTTGTTATAGTATTTTCAGGCAATACATAAATGTATCATGATGAAAAGGAACTACAGTTTCCCCTAATCTGGCCACAAAGAAATATCCACTAATAAAATTTTGGTCTGTAGATATCTAGAATTATTTTCTAAACACACACAATATAGATATTTTATCTAAAAAGGATATTATCTATGTTTAGTGAACTTTTTATAGCTAATAATTTCTTATCAATTTTATGCCAAGTATACCTTTACAGTATCATCTTAAATAACTGCATAATATTTCATTGCATGGATGTACTATAATTTAAATGATATCCTATTGGAGGTATTTAGTTTTTTATTTCCAACTTTGCACAATGTTGTGATGAACAATTTTGTACAATTGACCTAACATGATTTAATAAATATTAACAAAATTCCCTCTAAAAAACTGTACTAATTTGGAATCCTGACAACAGTGATAAGATTGCTATGTTGACTACTGGCAATTCTTTTAATCACAGATCATCTGAGAGACAAAAGCCAAAGTTCTTTCTGTTTTATTTTATATTTTTATTAGATAGTTGAACATATTCATACAGTGATTTTCTTTTTGAATTTCTTAAAGTTGTTTTTTTTTTAAAGTAACCATTATACCCAAGATAAGTCTTGAATTCACAACCCTGAGATCAAGTCACATGCTCTTACCAACTGAGCCAACCAGGTGCCCCTATTTGAATTTATTTTTATTTTTATTTTTAAGAATTTATTTTTAAGTAATCTCTACACTCAACGTGGAGCTCAAACTCATAACCCTGAGATCAAGAGTCACATACTCTACTGACTGAGCCAGTCAGGTGCCCTGAATTTCTTAACTTACCTACTCAAAACTTACATGCACTATTCATTTATTTAAAAAATAAAGGGTAGAGACTACTACATTCTAAGAGCTTACAACATATAACACGTTTCTAAGACAAACACTGTTTTAAGAACTTACAACATATAACACATTTACTGTACCACTGAAATTCTTCATCTGTAAAAGATTTCATATGTCAAGGATATTGAATCTTTCCCTATCATATAATTTGAGAACGATTTCTCCAGTTTATGGTTTTTCATTTCATTTACCATTTATTTGCTAAAATGGTGATTATATTTTTCCCTGTGGTCAAGCTACCATTTTTCCGCAGCACTTTTCCCAAGGTATCACACTGAGGAATTGTAATAGTCACATAATATTTGCTGCTATTTAATCATTAGGTTTTTAAGTACATTTTTAATCAATCTTGAATTTAAGTTGAGAATGAGGAAACTAACTTTATTTTGTTGAAATGCCTAACCATTTACCTAAATATAATTTATTGATCAATCAGTTCTTTACTTACTGATTTGGAAGGCCATCCCAAAATGTACCTGCACAAGAGATGTCTACAATCACGTTTCACAAAACGAATTGTACATTGTACTTACACACCCTTCAGAGATGAGAAAAACATACTTAAGCCTACAGGCGAACAGTTATATCTTCTTCAGTAATTTAGATTGTTTAGTAGCATCAATGTAATAATCTCAGTTCTCTAGAATACAGCCAAGAAACTGCTGGAGGAAAAGAGGCCTCTAAGCATCCACTTTCCAAAAAACAAAAAGCATGCATTAAATCTCAGCCTCTCACTTAGAACCTACATATTCTCGGTGACCTAGATTATAGAGTTCTTGATTCACTAAGATTAGAAAGTAGGAAGGGCATTGAATGTAGAAGTCTACAGAGAGTGGTAAGAAATGATTCTAAACTCTGATACTAATGAGAAAGGGAAATGTAGGGCAAAATACAGGCAGAAGAAATAAAGAATGCACTAGTCTAAGTGGCAAACAATTTTACTCACTTCAAAATGTAAAAATTGGTTTTCATGGCATTCATGAGACATAAGTAAACAGCAAGTTTTTACATGGTATTCAGTTTAAAGTGACAGAAAATCAAATAATTCACCTCTTGATAACTGACTTAAAATGCATATAAATGCTAAAGCTTTAGTATTCCAACATGTACTTTTGTAGAGCACATTTGGAAGTGCTAGAACTATGAGATTTTTCTATTATTTGAGGTAGATGCAATTTTACTGCTATGCAATGAAAGGTTAATTCGGTGGTTCTCAAACCCTGCATATTCCAAAGGATTGGCCTTCAGCAGCTTTGGCAAAATAACCTCTAAGCCCCTGTAAAAGTCTTCCTAATAAGAGTATCTTTGTATACCTGGGAACTTGAGAAAAGTCAGGCTTATGCTAACAATGTGATTTATGATGAATACTTTTTTGTTCCCTTGGGTTCCTTGGCCACACTGTATCAATTTGAGCTCTGGACAGGGGCAAGAGGGCTAAAGGCTGAACAGTTAAGGTCAGTCATTCAGGCATGCTATGCCTAAGTGACTGACCTCCCGCAAGAACCCTGGACTCCAAAAGCACAGGTGAACTTCCCCATTGTCAATACTTCTAATGTATTGTCCCATACAATTGCTGGAGGAATTAGGTGCTGTCCAATGACTCCACTGGTAGAGCACTGCTGGAAACTTACGCCTGGTTTCTCCTGGACACTGCCTATGTACTTTTCCCCTTTGATCATTTTAATCTGTACCGTTCATTTGGTAATAAACCACGAGTATGACTTTACTGAGTTCTGTGAATCCTTCTAGCAAATCATTCAACCTGAAGGTATTCATGGGATCCCTGACACAATTATTGAGAACATTAAAAACCTTTAATAAATGCTTGCTGAGTGCTTCTAGGGTTGCCTAAACTTAAGTTTGGAAAAGGCTGCCAAGGATGTCTGAGGAAGAGTTAGAGGAATACCTTGAATTCTGCATTTCATATCTATTACTCTATACTTAGAGTGGAAGCTGAATGCCAAAATTATTATACCCAAGAAACAGACCCCATCCAACTGTGGGTTGACCCAGAAAAATTCAGAGAGGCCCATCAGGGAAGAGAGAGTATAGCTTTGAGCAAGATATTTGGGTTTATACCTACTACTTCTTCTCTCTGTTGAAGTGGGCAAGTTCATTTTTGTGCCTCTGTCTCTCACCTGTAAGATGGAAATAAGAGTAGGTTGGTTGAATATTGGTTTAATACATATAAATAGCTTAAAATAGTATATAACTGAGAGCTCAACAAATGTTAGCTATTATTATCATGACTATATTGTTTTGTGGCTAAAATTCCAAGGAACCTATCACAGAATTGAAGGTGAAATTATTTAGCTCATTTAGGAAAGAGAAGCTCCTCAGTGACTAGCAAAGATAGCCTGGTCTTGTAGAACATTTAAATATACATAAAAATAAAATTTCTAAGTAAATATATAAAAATTTGTAGAAAAGTTTAAAAAGTAACTATCAACAATAATAAAATGAAGAGATACAAATCTTGACCTCATAAGCCTTATCTATTTGTCTTTCTTTTTGATGTTGACATTCAAGATTTGTCCTTATATATGCATATTGTGTTAAAAAGAGACAAGGCCAAAATGAAGTCACTGTGCTAAGCCCACAGACTTAATCTAATTAAAGTCTCAACCCTCTCCAGGAATGTAATCCTAACTACTCAGTCTAGAATTTTCTGGTCAGCACCAATGAGGTAATCTGCCTACATAGGCCCTTTGCATTCCCTAAAGGAAGATGAGATAATCCCCTAATAGACCTGTTTGCCCCCCAAAGGAAGGTGACCTCATCTAAAACAATCCTTTTTTTTCATTTATGACTTCCTTATTCTGTCTTTTTTTTGTGGGGGGGGGGTTGGTGGGAGAAGCAGAAGGAGAGGGAGAGAGGAGAGAGAGAATCTTAAGCAGGCTCCATGCCCAATGTGGAGCTCCACATGAGGTTCAGTCTCACAATCCTGAAGTCATGACCTGAACTGAAATCAAGAGTTGGATGCTTAACCAACTGAGCCACACAGGCACCCGTTTTGTTCTGCCTTTTTTTTTTTTTTAAAGATTTTATTTATTTATTTGAGACAGAGAGAATGAGATACAGAGAGCATGAGAGGGAGGAAGGTCAGAGGGAGAAGCAGGCTCCCTGCCGAGCAGGGAGCCCGATGCGGGACTCGATCCCGGGACTCCAGGATCATGACCTGAGCCGAAGGCAGTCGCTTAACCAACTGAGCCACCCAGGCGCCCCTTGTTCTGCCTTTAAAAACTTTCCTTTTCTGTACTCCTTTGGACCTGTCTCTTTGCTAGATAGGATGCTGCCCAATTCATGAATTGTTCAATAAAGCCAATCAGATCTTAAAAATTTATTGGGTTGAATTTTTGTTATTTATCATGTGGCTTCTTTCCCCTATAAAATTATTCCCATCGGTTATCTTGCCGGGGGGTAAGATTACTGTTGTAAGGGCTATTAAAGTTTTTATGATTGTGCTATTTATAGCCATATGGTTTTATAACAAGTTACACACCACAATTCAGTGCCAGCCAAGCAGAATGCACAGCAGTTAAGCTTTATGGTCCTGGAATCATTTGATTTGGGTTCACCAACCACCTCTGCCACCTATAAGCTCTGTGACATGGCACTTGTCACCTAAGTTCCTGGGCATTACTTACCTCCTCTGTAGAATTCCAGTGATGAAAATATCAAGATCATTTTGATATTGAGAAGATTAAATGAGAAAATGCATAGAATCAAGCCCAGTAGCAGATACTCCAAAAGTCTGTTATTTTTGTTAATATTTGTTTTCGTTCTATACTGAACTAAGCGTAGAGATACAAGGATTTAACAAATATTTAGATATGATTAAATGTAGGTACATAAGAATGAAAATAAAAATAAATGTGTGTCAAATTGCTTATAGTTCAGTAAGGAGATTGACATAGATAATGATATAAAGCAGCAGAGACAGAAGGACCTTATCTTGCCCAGTGGAGACTACAGAGGTGAAAAGTAAGTTGGGGAAGGGCATTCCAGGTAGAGGGTAAAATCAGTCATAGTTTGTGCAGTTTGTGTGAAGGTGTGATGAGCATATTTAGGCCCAGTGAAAATGAAAGTTTCCAGTGGCTGGAAACTAAGCTGTGAGTGGAGACGAGGAAGGTCAGAATGGACACTCAGGTACTAGAACTGAATATGTTTCCCCATGAGCTCATCAGCACTTTCTCAATTGCTTTCTTAAAGGTGGAGAGTGTGCAGGCATTTGGAGTCTGTCATTAGCTCTTGCTTCCCCCTTAAACTGTGCAGTCTATTCCTTCAGAAGCTAAAGCAAATTACCCTTATTGGCAGATGGCTGCTAGTGTGGCTAAGGCTGTCTGGCATGCTTGCATTTCCAATGAGATCCTTTTGATTTATTTCATCTGCAGTAATTAAACTTGCCTTTCTTTGCAGCAATGACTTAAACATGTCAGGTGCTCTGGGCCCCATGGAAGATATTGTCACTGTTGGGTTACCTGGGGACATCTTCAGGTGCATCTCAACCCCTGCGTGGCCATTTCACAAATTTTCACCTGTCAACTATGGGAAAGAGCTCTTCAGCTACAACAGTGAGGTGCAGCTTACATCCATCCATTAGAATCAAAACCGGATCATACTCTCATCTCTGTCTTTGTATCCAGACAGAATGATGACTCCATTTTAGGGTGTGCTTGTCAATGCCTGTTCCCCAAAGGAGTAACAGGGGAGCAGGGCTCCATCAGGCTGGAGAAAAGAACCATCTTGGAATATTTTATGCACTCAAAGGAAGCTTCAAACCAAAAAAACAAAAAACACACACAAAAAGAAGGCAATAATGCCAGAATTCTGCTTAAGAAATCCACAGACTTTTAAGCTAAGATAATGCTTTGTCTCATTGAAGACTGCAGACACACAGGAATGGTACAGAAAGACAAAGGAAGCCAAACACAGGCAGTGTGGTCAGGCTTTTCACAACGTTGCTATAGCAGATTGTCCTTCAGATAAAACTCAAGGAGTTAGCCAGGTGTGATATTGTGGTTTATAATAGGAAACATACATTTGGTCTTTGTCCTGTTGTCCCCAGAACAAAGCTTCTAACAACCCTTGGAATTTCCCGTAATGAGAGCAAGAGATAAAGCTGCCTTTTGTTATGTTAAATGAGGTTGCTTTTGGAAAGCAACTAAGGATGGGGGTTGGTTGTCAGCAGTCAACCATGTGTAAAGTTGGTTCCAACCCCTGACCTCTGGAGAGGAGAGAAGGTCTTAATCAATCACCAATGACTAATAATTTAATGAGTCATGTCTATGTAATGAGGCTCAATAAAAACACCCAAAAGGACAAGGTTTGGAGTGTGATGCACCCTAACTCCACAGAGACAGAAACTCTTGCCCTCGGGACCCTCCCAGACCTAGGCCTACATAGATTTTCATCTGGCTGTCGCCTTTAATATCCTTTCTAATAAACTGGCAATCTAGTGAGGAAGCTGATCTCCTGTGAGTTCTGTGAGCCATTCTAGCACATTAGCTGAACCAAAAGAGAAGGTCATAGAAACTTCTGATTTATAGTCAGTCACTCAGAAGCACAGATAACAAGTTGGACTAGTGATTGGCATCTGAAGTGGGACAGTCTCCTGGGACTGAGCCCTTAACCTGTGGAACCTGATGCTATCTACAGGTAGATACGTCAAGATTGAGTTAAATTTGTGAGACACCTCATCAGTGTCCTCAGGGAATTGAGTTAATTGCTTGGTGTGTTAAAGAAAAAACACACATTGGAATTAGTGTCAGAATTGTCCCAGGTAAATAGGCTACTGGAAGGTGGGTATGAGAGAATGAAAGGCACCTTGACTTGGCAACTGGTAAGGTTCAGTGAGACTGCAGGGACAGTATGTGGTGGAGGTGGCAGGATATAAGAATAATAATCATAAAGCCAGTGTTCTGTTCACTTATTCCAAGCTGGGCACTCAGTTAAGCCTTACGTCCTTGAATCCTCATCAGGGCCTCAAGAGGTGTGAACTTCATTATCCCAGTTTTGCAAAGGAGGGAACCAAGATGCAGAGATTACAATGGATTGGCCAAAGTCATTCAGTTCAGTAACTGGGAAAAGGCCAAGCAATGAAGGGTCTTATATTACAAGCCAGACTTTGAATTTCCCCCTGAAATCAATGAAGAAATGTGGATGGATTTTGACTAAAAGAATGGCATGATCATGTCTGTATTTTGTAAAGATAGACCTGGAGCTGGGGGTGGAGGAGGAAAGGGGGGACCACAGGCAGAGGAAAGCAATCTAGGATCAATTAGAAAGGTTTAGCCAATATCAGGGGTAAATATTGAGGCACAAGATGGGCAGCTGGTGAGAAACTCCATCTTACAGATGCAAACAAAGCACAGTGGACCATCATAGGCAATTCAAGAGTTAAAGCAATGAACCAAAGCAGATATTAAAAATGTCTTATTATTTTATATTCCCCCAAGGATGATGGGGATCTGCACAATTATACAGGATTTATACCATGGTAAATATTTCCTTGGAAAATCTGATTAGTGATTAATAGACCAAGTTATTTTAAACTCATGGACCACAGTCATTAAGAAAAAGAAAATTGCCTCTCTTGTTGCATTATATTTTAATTCTAAGCAGGAAGATTTATTTAGCAGCCTTTGTGACAAAGCTTATAAACAACAGTTTGAAAAATGGGACAATGTAAACAGAATATCGTTCTGACACTGCATGAGTCAACCTCTACAAAATAGGACAAATTTCTACAGCTCTGGAACAACAGCTTCTACAGATGAAGGCCTCATCTCTATCTCCACCTCTTGGCTCATGCTTTTACAAGAAAATAAAAGTGACAAACACACTGCTATGGGGAGTACAGTTTTAAAACACATTTTGTTAGCAGCCCCAGATACAGTTTCTGTCTATCTCTCTCTCATAGGTCCATGAAAACTGGTCAAGGGCAATTTACACTAGTCATGGCTTTCCCTCTGAAAGGAAAATGAAAGCAGTGGCTACTTCCAATTTTCCAGAGAGAGCAGGATTAGAGAAGTATCAGAACTTGAACTCAGATCTCCTGACTCCAGAGTACCTTTCCCCATAATAATATGAGCAACATTGTCAGGATTCAGGGCATGAAATAGAATGATGCAGTATTTTACAGAAAGGCTACTAAAAAGTTCCTGCTCAGTCCTCTTTTTTGTTTTTTTTTACTGTAATCTGTAAATAGATTTATTGCTTGTGTTGAATTTTCATAAATCATGTTCAGATGAAACCTTCCTATTTGAAAGGCTTGATAACTTTTTGAGAAATGTAAAACAAACCTTCTTAGAATGGGAATTGATCAAAGCTCATGTTGCTTGTCTTGGCATATTTCCTAAATCTATAAAGAAGCAAGAAGTCATGAAGTTATAATATATATAAGAAGGACATCATACAGTTTTCTGAGAAATTTGTGGGTTATTTTTAAACATAGCATATACACCAAAATGTGCACAGTTTTTTAAGTGTATAAGCTGATGTATTTTTACATCATTTCACATCAGCTTACACACTTACATGTATTTTTACAGTGTTTCCTTCCATGTAACTAGTGACCAATTCAAGAATCAGAACTTGGCCAGCATTCCAGAAGCTATCTTGTGCCCACTTCTAGTCACTACTTGCTTCTGAACAATGATGCTATTGGACTGAACGTTTGGGTCCTCTCAAAATTCATATACTGAAGCCCTCACCTCCAATGTGATGGTATTTGGAGACGGCCTTTGGGATGTAATTAGGGTTCAATGAGATGGTGAGGCTGGGGCCCTCATGATCAGTCCTTAGAAGAAGAGACACCAGTGACCTCTTTCTCCCCATACATGCATAAAGAAGAGGTCATGTGAACACACAGTGAAATGGTGGCCACCTACAAACCATGAGAAGAACCTTCAAATGAGACACGTTTTGATGATACCTCGATCTTGGACCTCCCAGTCTCCAGAACAGAATATATTGCTGTTATTTAAGCCACACAATTTACAGTATTTGTAATGACAGCCTGAGCAGACTAAGACAAATAGTAAGCATTGTTCTGACTTCGAACAGCACAGATTACTTTCCCTTGGTTCTGAATTTTATATAACTACAATTATACTGCATGCGTTCTTTGTTTGGCTTCTTTACCTCAGTGTAATGAGAAATTCATCCATATTTACTAGAATAAAGAAACGTTTTTTCTATTTCCAATTTGCTGAGAGTTTTTTTTTCCGTTACCATGAGTGGTGTTGAATTTTCTCAAATGTTTTCCTGCATCTAGGAAAAAGAGAATATGATTTTTCCCCACTGTCTTCACTCCCCACTTTCTTGCTCCTATGAGAATTACATTGATTGATTCTCAGATATTAGCTTACTCTTACATTTCTGGAGTAATATTAGTTTAGCCAAGATGTATTATCTTTTATATATATTTTGCTGGACTTACTAAGCTAAAATTTTGTTCAAAATTCCCTTTGCTTAGCAAGTTTCGGGATCAAGGTTATATCGGCCTCATAAAAAGAATAGTTTTCCCTTTGTTTCTATTCCTTGAAAGAATTTTGTAAGGTTTGTGCTACTTTTTTTCCTTAAATATTTGGAAAAAAATTATTGGTGAAGTTATGTAAGTATGTTTTTGGATTTTCTTGCCATGGTTATTTTTGTTTTGTGTACGTGCAAATTATTTAGCAACAGATTTAATTTCTTTACTAAATACTATGCTAGAGATTTTTTTTGTCTGTTTCAGTTTCAGTTTTTTCTTTTTTTTAATTTTATTTATTTATTATTTGTTTATTTATTTCAGAGAAAGAGAGAGAGAGAGAACAAGCTGGGGGAGGGGCAGAGAGAGAGGGAGAGAGAAATCTCAAGCAGACTCCACACTGAGCACAGAGACCAACATGGGGCTCAATCTCACAACCCTGAGATCATAACCTGAGTTGAAATCAAGAGTCAGACACTTAACTGACTGAGCCACCCAGGCACCCTGAGTAAGTTTTTTCATAAGGAACTGACCTATTTTGTCCAAACTGTCAAATTTTTTAGCAAAAAATTATCCCTGATATTTTCTTGTCACTTTTATTTGTGTAGGATTATGTGGCGACGTTCATTTTTCTGTGGGTAATTTTTCTTTTCTCTCCCTTCCTTCTCTCCTTTCTTCTTTTCTTCTTTCCTTCCTTCTTCCTTCCTTTTTGTTGATCACTCTTTCTAGGTTTTAATCAATGATAATTTTTTTTAAGATTTATTTATTCATTTGAGAGAGAGAGCATGCGTGGGGAGAGGGACAGAGGGAGAGAATCTTCAAGCAGACTCCCCACTGAGCATGGAGTCTGAGTTGGGGCTCCATCTCACAGCCCTGAGATCATGACCTGAGCTGACACCATGAGTTGGGTGCTTAACTGACTGAACCACCCAGGTGCCCCATCAATGATAATTTTTTAAAAGAACCAACTGTCATCTTTGTTGCTTCTCTCTATTGAACTCTCAAGTATATTTTATTACTATCTACCATTTACTATTTTATTCCATTTTATTTAATTTAGTTTTGCTGGTGTTTTTGGCTAGCTTCTTTCTTTGTCAGTATCTGCTGTAAAACTGAACATATACCTCTGA